CCCACATCCCACAAAATTAATGAATTTAAAAAGAGAGTGGATAAATTCTTCACGTCCTGCCATTGCCAGAGAGCATCAGGTACTTGTTTCTATTCCTGGATGGTTTCGGGCTGATCTGGATTTGTATCAAGGCAGTTTAAATATGATGTATCATTTATCTTTTCTTCTAGAGGCTGTAACTGCTGAGTTGATTCTTAAAACCCTACCTGTGGCATGTGGGTGATCAAATAATGTTCAGGATGGATGGAGACAAAGAGAGTGAGTATGTCTACTTTAATGCCACCTTCTGGTTAATGCTCCTTTTGTGACCTGGGGATAGCAGTTTCTCAGAAACACAAATGAGTGTTAGTTGGCTTACCCCTGATCTTGTCTGGCCAATTAACCAGTTACTCAGACCAGTCATAACATGTTGAATCCAGGTCTGTAGTTTTGATATGATTAAGTTATGGCTAGATGAGCTCCTTTCCTAGTCACCGTGCATTGTGATTGTGCAAATAATTGCAGCTAATGCTTGTCCTATACACCAGGAATTGCCTGGATGTTTTGTAAAGGGAGCAGGAGCTATGATTATTCACATTGCTCTCTCAGGTGACAGTCTTCCAGATAGCCTGCCCCGATTTTTACTGAGTTTGGAATTTGTAAGGTATGGCCATTGTAAATGTTCAGCCATCTTAGCTGCTGTTTTACTAAAATGCTGCTGTTCAGTCTTTGAAAACTCTGAACAGTGGTTTCAGTCCAATAAATAAATAATCTGTGAAAAAGCTGTGCCTGCAATATTTTGATTTGTGTGTTTCTGACATTCTTGCTTATCCTAAACTACTAGAAGACCTTGTTTTATCAGAATTACCTTTCAATCTGTCATTCTAAACACTTTTTACCTACTCTATCGAAGATGTTCTTTTTCTTTATTATTATCTGCCTCTTTCTCTTTCACCCTCTCTCCATTTTGTATTTGTCTCTTTTTCTCTTTATTTCCAGGTACTCTAGCACATTATCACTGATCCAAAGATAGTGTGACTCCTGTGAAAGCAGAAGCTGATTTCTCACTTGAGATTCCCGTGATTCGGCCCATCAAGTGACTCCCCAACTCATGAAGCACTCGTTGCAGGAACTAATCACGTTGTCTCAAATCGCTTGCTGCTGAAAACCTCATCTATGACTTTTGTCACCTCTTGACAATTTCGTTGTTCTCTTAGCTGGTCTCCTATCTTTCACCCTGTAATAAACTCAAGGAGACCCAAAACCCTGCTGTCCATACTTTAACTCACAACAAGGACAGGGTTTTGTGTTAGGATCTTGACTTCAGAGCAAAAGGGAGTCATAACTTTTCATTGAGTCAGTGAACAGTCAACTGATAGTGGTTCTCCCTGAATTAACCATTTAGTGGTCTCGTTAAAGATGGTGGTCAGGCACTCAAGGTAGGAGGGCCAAAAGCAGGCACCCCAGCTCGGAAGGAGCAGCAGCCTATAGTTCACGTGAGTGAATGGAAACCTCCACCTTGAGATGGCCTTCTCCGCAACTAAACAAATCACATTTTTGGCTGCTGCTTTGGTCAGGGAGGTAGGAAGGGCCTCTCAATCTACCTTGGGCCATGATCCCTGGTCTGCTGCTGAATGGCCACCTCCAGGTAGCTGGGTATACTCCTGGTGCTTTGGTGGAGGAGCCTATATAGGTCGCTGGAAAATTCTGGTCTGCTTTGGAAAGTAGTCCTTAATAAGCTATTAACTCCCTGTAATTTAATCATCGGCCCAGCTTCAAGTTCTTCCCCCAGTTGGGGATAGAAATTCTGCCCCAAGTCCCATTCACCCATTGCCCCTGTGCTTGCTGATCTACACTGGCTACTGTTTTGGTAATAGGTAAATTTTAAAATTTTCATTCTTGTTTTTATATCCCTCCATGACCTCCTTCAGTTTTACAACCCTCTGAATACTTTGCATTCCCCTAATTCTAATGTTTTTATCACTCCGCCATTGGCAAACTTCAGAGGACAATAAAGGAATGCATTAGGGATAATACCCCAATCTTTTGAGCAGAGCTTACAGAAATACAAGTCTCTCATCTCCATTAGCTTTGTTTTATCTGTTAGTTTCATGATTGTGTAATGACTACTATGTCCTGCTGGAGTTCAAACATAAAACATCTACAGCCTTTGTGTTAAACTTGTTTTTTACCCCTGAAAAAATTTTATTCACGTTGGATTCTCTGTTTTTGATTGTATGACTAATATTTTACAGCATACTGTAAAAAGAGGACGTTTAGGATATATTTTTGAAGAAAGAAAACAATCTTGATTAGCTGGGAATGAAAACTGGTAATTTTGAAGCTATGTGACAAAGATTTACTCAACAAGAGAGAAAAACAGAATTCTGGCACTACCATTTTAAAAAAAAGTGGATGTTCAATAATTTTGAAACATCATAAAATTCAGGTGAACATCTTGTTAAAAGTTATGAAGTGGCAACCTTTACAGCTGTAGAGATGCAATGAAGGGTTCATTCAGGATTATGAATGCACAGCACAACAGTTACGGGAGTGATGATGAAGAATAGCTTTAGACTTCAAGTACAGATATAGCTGCTGTTACTGGTTATATCATAGTGAAGAGCTATGGCTGGGGGTCTGAGCCTCTCGTGGACACAACAGGCTATGACCTGCATTAGGAATGATCCTTGGCAATGGTTCTACAGCCCAAGTCATTAGCTGAGTACACTGCAAGTATAGTGCCTGGGAAGAGTCTCATTCAGCTGAAGGTGTTGTCATTCAAGTGTGAAATCTGAGAGCCAAATTTAAATAAAAATCGAATGCTGCAGATGCTGGAAATCTGAAACAAATGCAGAAAATGCTGGAGGTACTCAACGGGTCTGGTAGCGTCTGTGGAGAGAGAAACAGAGTTAACGTTTTCAGTCATAACTCTATTTCTCTCTCAACAGAGACTACCAGACCTGCTGACTTAAATTTACATAACTCCACCTCGGTGGAAGCGAAAGGGAGTATCTATATTTAAACTAAAAGACACCTACTTCTGCCTGATTCCAAATGAAAGGTTTGGAGGGTGAGGGACGGGTGACCAATTAGCCATCAGGAGTCAGTTTGGTTGCTGAAATATTTCTAGAAGCTTTGTGTCTCCTCCTAAACTGTTTTAGCCCAAATCTTCTGATCCGTGTCGGGAACATGATACCTGATGCTGATCAGTTAGAAAACTGTGTACTCACCTGTTTTCATTTCAAAGGATCTGATGCAGCATTCTGAAGAACTCCCTTGGTGCAAGAATTCATACAGAGACCTGCAAAGATGATCATTGTGGACGAATTAATTTACACCCAAAGTTAATCTACAAAAGAAAAATCAAAAGAACTGCAGATGTTGTAAATCAGGAACAAAAACAGAAGTTGCTGGAAACGCTCAGCAGGTCTGACAGCATCTGTGAAGAAAAAAAACATCAGAGTTAACGTTTTGGGAGCGGTGACCCTTCCTCACAACTGCGGTTCTGTTTTCACCAAAAAAGGATCGGTTACTCAGCCATGAACTAAGGACAAGGAGAAGAAATGGTGCTCCATTTCACAAGTGTATGAAATTTAAAAAACTTGTGTTTATATTAATCCTTCCAAGACCTCAGTACATCCCAAAGTACTTTAGCTCACTCACTGTTGTAATGGGGAAAACAGCAAAGCCATTTAGTGTTAGTTCACAGAATCCCCACAAAGTGAAAGCATGCCATTTGGCCCTTTGAGTCCACACCATCAAGGCCCTCCGCAGAGGATCCCACCCAGAGCCACCCTCTTGTAACCATGCATTTACCATGGCTATCCCATCTAGCCTACACACTACAGACAATTCAGCATGGCCAACCCACCTAATCTGCACATCTTTGTGACTGTGGGAGAAAACCAGAGCACCTGGAAGAAACCCATGTAGACACAGGAGAATGTGCAAACTCCACACAGACAGTTGCCTGAGGATAGAATTGAATCTGGGCCCCTGGTGCAGTAAGGTAGCAGTGCTAACCACTGAGTCACTATGCTGCCCCCACATTGAGTCCTCCCTGGAAGATGTGGTGAGATAAAATACAAGATGACTTGCTTCTCGTGATTTGATCGAAGAATTGGTATTAACTTGAGAAACGGGAACACTTCCCCAGCTCTTCTGCAAATAGTTGTGCTCATGGAAGCCACCAACCTCTTGGTTTAATATCTCATACAAAAGTTGTTACCTCTGATAATGCAGCACTCCAGTATCAAGATTAGTTTTGAGCTCAAACGGCTGAGGTGAATATTGAGTCCACAAGCTGTGGGCTCCTGGTTGCCAACCTCTTGGCTGGAAATACATAGCTGTTGCTAGGAATGGAAAATAGAAAAGAAAAAGCTTTACTGCAGCCATGTCTTTATGTTGTTGTGTGCAGTCTTTTGTTTAAAATATTAACTATTGTGTGTTGTTGTGTGAAAGGAAAAGACTAACTTGAGGATTAAAGCTGGTCAATTGAGCATTGAATTTATAGGTTGTGTAGTTCAGTTTCTGGTATACATTTCTTATACTGTCACAGTTGAATGTCTCAAACTTTGAAAATGAGACTGGCTGTTATCCAATGATTCTAGAGTCCAGGGATTTGTTCCTATTGCTAATTAAATTGAAGTTTTTGATTTGTTCAAATTTGCGTTTTAAGTCCTTGGAAAGCCCATTAATAATAAAGTGTCAGATGATCAGATGTTCACGCATGAGGCTGTTATTCATGTTTATCTGTCCTTGCCATAATAGAACATCCTGTATTTTTCTACTAGTGGTGGTTATGGAAATGTTTGTGGATCGGATCTCCTGACTCTGAGGTGGAATTGAGGACAAGGTCTTAATGCCCAAGTAGACCTTTGTTAGTCTTGGCTTTGATTGAGGTGTTGGTGAGTTGGAGAGGGAGTTGGGAGTTGGGAGGTAGAATTAAAGAACGTAGCATCCCCATGCATTAAACCAGTATGATTAATTTGTTTTCTTATCATCCATTTCTTCTTAGAGTCAAGGCTTGCCCATGACCATCAATAATCAAAGATTATTTATTCAAAAATCTATTTTCATCACAGTCAAGGGATGAACTGAGGTATGTTTACTTGAACTAATTCATGTAAATACAAAAAGTGGTAGAATAGATAGCGTACTGATCGTCAGATTAGGCTGGCTGTTATCAAAGTTTAAAGTTACAGTTATTTAAGTTTCTTCATTGCATTTGTTATTTGGATGAAATGTGGCATTCGATTATAATTAAATCTTGTCATTTTATAAAAAGTGAAAAAACTGAGGATGCTGTAAATCAGAAAGAAAAAACAGAAATTGCTGGACAAAGTCTAGCAGCATCTGTGGAGAGAAATCAGACTTATCGTTTTGGGTCGAGTGATGCTCCCTGAATTTGTTCCTGGACTTTGCAGCAAGTACTCGCTGCTTTGTCCTTCAAGCGGTGTTTTTACAGCTATGTTCTTAGTTGCATTGCTTTGGTGTCACACGGGAGAGAGGGTGTCCAGGGACTAATAAAGGAAGAGTAATTCTATCAGTCATAGTGGACCCCTGTTTTGGAGAGGGGAAGGATCTGGAGAATAATGATATCATGGGGTTGAGATCTCAAGAGCAAGGTCACTGACATCCAGTCTGAATCTTCAGTTTTAAGTGAAAAATATGGGATGCAGGGGAAATAGTCACAAGGAGAGGGGGTTGGGGATGTTATCTCTGGTCAAGTGGGATTGGCAAGGTAATGGGTGGTTATTGTATAGTGGTGAACATCAGAGACCCTTTGACAAGGGGAACCAACTTTATCACATCTAACCTGTGGTCAAGCAACCATTAATCCAAAATTGGACATTTTGAATTGACCCATAGCTGGAGAATCGGGACTGATAGATAATTCGCACAACTAAATTAAATAGCACCTAGCAGCTTTCAGTAGAAAACAATGGAATTCAAGTTCAAAGAGGTTCCAAAGGTTCAAGAAGAACCAGTTACAACCAGCCCAAGGGTTGTATATTGTAGAAGTGTCAATCAGACATTCTAGAATTTTGACATTCTAAGTATATGCACTTTACATCTCCTGGCATGGCAACAGTGATGGGTGTTGGCATGACCCCATTGGATGATCTGAACCTAGCTCATGACCCCATTGTCCAACAGCCATGGAACATTCTGGAATGTCTAGGGCAGGCAAACACTTGGACGCCACCCACTCAGTGAATACACAGTGAAGATTCGCAGCAAGACTCATGGCAGAAGGGCTGTGCGGCAACCCAAGAAGACCCAGGAGAGAAGATATGCCCTCACCTGCAAGACCACCAGCCCTATATCGGTGAGGAAGGAGATCCCAACGGCCCAGCTCAAACGTGTGGATCGTTGTTGGTAATATACTTTCTCAGACAGATAGAGCTGGCAAGAGAGTAAATATTATGGGAATTTGGGAAATACAATGTTTTAAGAAGGAAAATTTTGTTAATAAAATAGAGTTGAACCACAAACCAAATTCTGTATCCCTTTGTCCACGTCACCATTGAGTGCTTGAGTAGAGTGTTTTAATATATAAACTGGTCAAAGTGCCCAAAGAATGGACAACATTCCGAAGAATCAATCTCAACTACCTTCTCTGGACTACCTTCAGTACCATTATATCTTTCCTTAGGTAAGGGACCCAAAGCTATTCACAGTATTCCAGTTGTTCATCTTGTAAACAATGTCCACATCACTGGGAAGCTTGATTATGACAATATGTAGACTGGTGATGATGAAGGAGAAAGGGGTGGTGCAAGGACATCTCCGTCTTGAACTCAGGATTTAGTTATTATACTGTTGGTGAGGACTATTGCCGATGTCTTGGAGGAGATGGAGGATGTTGATGAATTTCTCTGGACAGCCAGCTTGCTCAGGTCAATGAAGACCATTTAGAGTGGTTGATGTTGTTCCTAGCATTTCTCTTGGAGTTTAGGTAGGAGTAGTTAAAATCATGTTCATAACTATGTGGTTTGGTTAGAAACCACATTTTCTTTCAGGAAGATGCCTAGCAAGAATTCGAGTAATGATCTTCCCAGTGGTGGAGAATATATAAATTTCTTGGTAGTTCCCATAGTTCACTTTGTCCCCTTTCTTGAGGAGGATGGTGATTGCAGCATCCCTGTGATTGACATATTTTCTTTGTCTGATTATTTCTTTGTCTGATTATTTCTTTGTCTGATT